GAGACGGAGTTTCGCTCTTGTTACCCAGGCTGGAGTGCAATGGCGCGATCTCGGCTCACCGCAACCTCCGCCTCCTGGGCTCAGGCAATTCTCCTGCCTCAGCCTCCTAAGTAGCTGGGATTACAGGCACACGCCACCATGCCCAGCTAATTTTTTGCACCTTTAGTAGAGACGGGGTTTCACCATGTTGACCAGGATGGTCTCGATCTCTCGACCTCGTGATCCACCCGCCTCGGCCTCCCAAAGTGCTGGGATTACAGGCTTGAGCCACCGCGCCCGGCCGATTTGATCCCTTTTAAGCTTACTTTGTCATTTGAAAATTCAATAGATTTGTTCAAGTTGTTGATATAATAACCACCTTCCTCCAGGTTGAACCTATACATTTTTTGGGTGCTGTTGTTTAGAAGTCATCTATTTTATTTAGTTTATATTTCTTCATCCTGTTTATAATAACTTATAAAGATTTTTATCACATATTTTACTGAATTTAGGATAACTGTGCCTGTAACTATTTTTTCTTTAGGATAACTATCTTTCTGATCCTCTAGTAGAAGAGCCTTAAAAGATACATTAGTTTGCAGCTTGGCCTTCTTCATATACAGAAGCTGTGTAAAGATATGTTTTTGTCCATGAAATTTATCAGAGCTTTGTTAAATACCCTGGTGCTCTTGTGTAATTCTTACTTGTGCTTCTTTTATTACTGTCTTCCTTTTTTAAAAAAATCAGCTTTATTGATACATAATTTACATACTATAAAGGTTACCCATTTAGAGGGTACAGTTCAGTGGTTATTAATATATAGAGAGTTGTGTAACCATTGCCATTTTTATCACTCCAAAAGAAACTTGATCTTATACCCATATATTCTCTCTCTCTCTTTCTGTTTCATCTAAAAGTGATTTCGCTTTTGTTTTCTAAGGAAGCCTTTCGGCCGGGCATGGTGGCTCACGCCTATAATCCCAGCACTTTGGGAGGCTGAGGCGGGTGGATCACGAAGTCAAGAGATTGAGACCATCCTGGTCAACATGGTGAAACCCCGTCACTACTAAAAATACAAAAATTAGCTGGGCGTGGTGGCACACACCTGTAGTCCCAGTTACTCAGGAGGCTGAGGCAGGAGAATTGCTTGAACCCAGGAGACAAAGGTTGCGGTGAGCCAAGATCGTGCCATTGCACTCCAGCCTGGGTAACAAGAGCAAAACTTCGTCTCAAAAAAAAAAAAAAAAAAGGGCAGGGTGGCTCAAGCCTATAATCCCAGCACTTTGGGAGGCCGAGGCGGGCAGATCACGACGTCGAGAAACCGAGACCATCCTGGTCAACACGGTGAAACCCCGTCTCTACTAAAAGTACAAAAAATTAGCTGGGCATGGTGGTACATGCCTGTAATCCCAGCTACTCAGGAGGCTGAGGCAGGAGAATTGCCTGAACCCAGGAGGAGGAGGTTGTGGTGAGCCGAGATCGCGCCATTGCACTCCAGCCTGGGTAACAAGAGTGAAACTCTGCCTCAAAAAAAAAAAAAAAAAGAAAAGAAAAGAAAAGGAAGCCTTTCCTCAGAAGCTTCTTTTTCTTTAGGGATTTCCCATTCTGTTTCTTCATATCTTGTGTTTATAAGCCTGGAATTTCATTCTTCCCTTATATATATGAAAAAAAAAAGATAACATAAGAAAAATAGATACTGGGGCATAATATGAAGTAGCGGTCACTTATTTAGTACTGTCGTTTTCATAGATTTAAAGTACATATGGGCCAGGTACAGTAGCTCACATCTGTAATCCAGGCCCTTTGGGAGGCTGAGACAGGAGGATCACTTGAGTTCAGGAGTTTGAGAGCAGCCCGGGCAACAAAAGGGAGACCCTGTCTCTACAAAAAGTAAATAAATACATAAATAAATGCCAGGTGTAGTGGTGTACGTCTGTGGTCCCAGCCTCTCAGGAGGCTGAGGCAGGAGGATCTCTTGAGTTCAGGAGTTGGAGGCTGCAGTGAGCTTTCACTGTGCCACACTACTCCAACCTGTATAATAGAGTGAGACCCTAACTCAAGTACATATGCTCTTTTTTTTTTTTTTTTGGTTAATTTTTTTTTTCTTATAAAGTACATATGCTCTTATTCGTGATTGCTTTCAATGGCTAGTGGAGACTGCAAAAGCATTTAATTTAGATTGAATTTAGGACTGAATGACAGTCTCAATAATTTATATTTCTTTTTTTTTTTTTTTTTTTTTTTGAGACTCTCATTCTGTCACCCAGGCTGGAGTGCAGTGGCACGATCTCAGCTCACTGCAACCTCCGCCTCCCAGGTTCAAGTGATTCTCCTGCCTCAGCCTCGTGAGTAGCTGGGATTGCAGGTGCCCACCACCACTCCTGGCTCACTTTTTGTATTTTTAGTAGAGACGGGGTTTCTCCATGTTGGTCAGGCTGGTCTCGAACTCCTGACCTCAAGTGATCCACCTGCCTCGGCCTCCCAAAGTGTTGGGATTATGGGCATGAACCACCTCTCCTGGTCCAGGTAACAGCATTTTTCAAGAAATTTTTAAGTTTATTCTTTTTTTTTTTTTTTTTTTTTTTTTTTTTTTGAGACAGAGTTTCGCTCTTGTTACCCAGGCTGGAGTGCAATGGCGCGATCTTGGCTCACCGCAACCTCCGCCTTCTGGGCTCAGGCAATTCTCCTGCCTCAGCCTCCTAAGTAGCTGGGATTACAGGCACGCGCCACCACGCCCAGCTAGATTTTTGTATTTTTAGTAGAGACGGAGTTTCACCATGTTGACCAGGATGGTCTCGATCTCTTGACCTCGTGATCCACCCGCCTCGGCCTCCCAAAGTGCTGGGATTACAGGCTTGAGCCATCGCGCCCGGCTTAAGTTTATTATTTACTGTGAATGAAGATCATTTAAGAGTACAACTTCTAATTTTAGCTTTCTTTGATGATCATCTTTCTTATCTCTAGTCACATTAAAGTTAGGATATACTCTTTAGTTATTAACTAGGAGGATAAAAGTATTTATGAATCCAGGAAGCAGTTAACTAGAAGTATTATCTCTTACCGTGGATAATATGTCTTATGGTGCTACCTTTGTATTTTAAAGTACTCATGCAGATAATTAATAATCTCAAATTTTGGAATACTGGGTTTCTTGGAATATTAGGCAAGTCTCTTAAAACTTAGTGTCTCAGTTCTTTTGAAAATAAGTATGTGCCTCTAATTGGTCTTTTGAAGTTCCTTCTAACATTGATTCTGCTACCTTTAGAGGATATTTTGGGAATTATTTATGTTAAAAAACTATACAATAAGGGATTTTTTTTTTTTGTTTTTGAGACAAAGTCTGGCTCTGTTGCCAAGCTGGAATGCAGTGGCACGATCTCAGCTCACTGCACCCTTCACCTCCCAGGTTCAAGCAATTCTCCTGCCTCAGCCTCCCGAGTAGCTGGGAATACATGCATGTGCCACCACGCCCAGCTAATTTTTGTATTTTAAGTAGAGACGGGATTTCACCATGTTGGCCAGCATGGTCTTGGTCTCTTTGTGATCCACTCGTCTCACCTTCCAGAGTGCTGGGATTACAGGTGTGAGCCACCATGCCTGGCCACAATAAGGTATTTTTTTTAAGTAATAGAGATAATTTTATGTGCAATTAAAGTATTATAAAATACTTCTGAAAGATACAGGATTCTTTAATCTGGAATACAAAAGTAATTGCAACCTAATATAGGTATTGATGCATTATGCAGTTTGATTTAAGAGTTTCCTTTACCTTTGCCTTTCCAGTGTTGGAGATGCCTCAGAGAGTAAGAACTATTTGCATGAGCCATAACATTCCTTTTCTTTCTTTCTTTCTTTCTTTCTTTCTTTTTTTTATAGACAGAGTCTTGCTCTGTCGCCAGGCTGGAGTGCAATGGTGTGAATTTGGCTCACTGCAACCTCCACTTCCCGGGTTCTAGTGATTCTTCTGCCTCAGTCTCCTGAGTAGCTGGGACTATAGGCGCGTGCCACCATGCCCAGCTAATTTTTGTATTTTTAGTAGAGATGGGATTTCACCATATTGGCCAGGATGGTTTTGATCTCTTGACCTCATGATCTGCCTGCCTCGGCCTCCCAAAGTGCTGGGATTACAGGCATGACCACCACCAGGCCCTTTTTTTTTTATTTTTTAAGCTTCAGTCCACAGAGTTTTTCTTTGATCAGATTGTTTTATTTTAATAATTGGTAAAAATTAATTATGATAGTGTTGAATTAAAATATTTGCTCAAGGGTGTTGGATAAAAGAACAGGACTATACTAATTGACTGGAGAAGCCAATTTAAAGCTGATATACAGTAGTATATGCTATCTTTTATGTAAAGGATGATAAATTTTAGTTGTACTACTACAGAGAAAGATATTGGACCATCTTGGGTTATTTAGCATTTCTCCCATTCTGTCTACTTTTATCCAATTTTCCATTGTAATAACTTTTTCTAGAGACTATCTTGAACATAAGGAATAAAGCCAAGAAGAAAACAGGGACAGAACTAATGCGAAATTGATTCTTCAGTTCAATAAGATTATATAATAAAAGAAAAAATATATCACTTTTTTTTTTTTTTTTTTGAAACAGGGTCTTACTCTGTCACCCGGGCTAGAGTCATGGCTCACTGTAGCCTTGACCTCAAGCAGTTTTCCCACCTGAGCCTCCCAAATAGTTGGGGCTGCAGGTGTGTACCATCATGCCTAGCTAATTTTTTGAAAAAAATTTTGTAGAGATGGTGTCACTATGTTGCCCAGACTGGTCTTGAATTCCTGGCCTCAAGCAGTCCTCTCACCTTAGCTTCCCAAAGTGGTGATTACAAGTGTGAGCCACTGTGCCCAGCTGCTAATAACTCTTCACATTAGTTATGTGGGATTGTTTGTGAATAATACAGTTCTCCTCATGAGAGAAAGGATATACTCATTTTGTGCCTATAGTACATTGTTGACTGAATCTCTTTTAAAAATTGTTTTCTCTTCTCATTCCTATCCCCCTGCAGAATCTGTCTATGATCTTCTCCCAAAGGAGTTACAATTACCTCCATCTAGAGAAACATCTGTAGCATCAATGAGTCAGACAAGCGGTGGTGAGGCAGGCTCGCCTCCTCCAGCTGTTGTTGCTGCTGGTATGCATTTCATTTTATTTTATTAAAGAAAACTAGGGACAACATGAAATCTGGCCAACATGAACAGTGCTGGCAAAATTCATATTAAAAAGTGTGATTTGAGGGTTTTAAAAAGAGGCATTAAAATACGTACTTTTAACCTTAAACTTTTTCAATATGATTTTCTTGATGTAATTCTTATTTTAAAAAATTTTACATGATCACATCTGTAAGTGCCATTTTCTGAAATGGACCTTGTTTTTAAATATGGGAACCAGCTTAAAGTTGTTATGTTGACTGCACTTTAAAAAGGTTAAATAGCAAACTGTGAATAGAAAATTATATTTGAGTTCCTATTTAATAATTAATTTTAAAGACTTGCTCCAAGGGAAAATACCGTATATAATCTGAAAAATGACTGAAGCACTTAAGTGTCTTTTATATTCATAGTGTGTTACTGAAACCTTTTTCTTATATTTAAAAATATATATGACTTCATATTTATTGAAAGTAAGGAGTACTTCTATATAATATTTATATAAAGACATTTCTTATATTGATGAAAAAGTATAGAAAGTAATATTAGAAATTTATTAGACTTATTTTTACTCAGCTCTCAAATCATACACTAAATAATGATACAGTTGGCTCAAATTTTTATTTTACATAAGAATAAAAGATTGACAGACAAACTAATAGAAAAAAGTCTTATCAGTGACAAATTAGTTATCAGTGCTTTCTGTAATATTAGTTTGCCCAACTAATATTGGGCTTATAGACTGCTAAGTATGTTTGCTTTAAAAAAAGGAAATATAGATAGATAGATAGATATAGATATAGATATATTGAAGTTTTATCTGTCCTAATTAGAAGTTGCTTGCCTAATACGACACCTCTCATCTTTTAAAATGGTATTTAAAGTTTATCAGAGCATTGTTTTTTAGTAAAGTAGTTTCAAAATGAGAACAGTGAGGTGTAAGGTGGTTTAAATGAGGATATTGGTACTATAGTATAACTTCAGATATATTTCTCATATGCATTAACCTATGTACCATTAACCTTGTGTACTAGTCTTTCTCAAGCTGTATATATAGTGCATTATTGAAGCCTTCCTGGTTGAAGGCAGGAAAACTTTAAATATGGCAAAGAAACTGATCAGCCCTGCTCACTGTTCATGTGTTGCCAGACAGTTTTCTAACAGTTTCTGTGGATTTAATTGTGAGTTAGTGAACTTTATAGTAATCAAATTGGTAACATTACCTAATTTGCTTTATATCCACTGGTTTCTAAAATGGCTATGATGATTTTTTTCTGGAATATTAAGTTTTAAATCTGCTTTTAAAATTGTATTTGATAATAAAATATGACAAAGATAAAATATTTTTATGAGCGACTTCACTTTAAATCCACAAGTAGAAATTGACTAATTGATTTCTTTTGTATCTCTTGAGATTGTTTTTTAAAGATATATTGAATCTATATAGAACTAAAAGTCTGTTCCTTCTGTGCTTTTTAACATCTGTTGACAGTAGATCCAGTTCCTTTTAGAAACTCATATATATATATATGTGTAGTTAGTGAATTTGGGTCACTAATGAAACATTAGCCTTCCCCCAACCCAGTATATTTGAGAAAATCTCTCAAGATAAATTACATTGAAAACTTTGAATTGAAAAATCATGAAAACAAGAAATTTAATCAAAGGAAATATTTTGAAGTCATACATTCTTAATTATCTTGAAATTATTGACATTATAAAGATCACAGAAAGAATAAGAATATAGAAAAGGAGACTGGGCGCGGTGGCTCAAGCCTGTAATCCCAGCACTTTGGGAGGCCGAGGCGGGTGGATCACGAGGTCAAGAGATCGAGACCATCCTGGTCAACATGGTGAAACCCCGTCTCTACTAAAAATACAAAAAATTAGCTAGGCATGGTGGTGCGTGCCTGTAATCCCAGCTACTCCGGAGGCTGAGGCAGGAGAATTGCCTGAATCCAGGAGGCGGAGGTTGCGGTGAGCCGAGATCGCGCCGTTGCACTCCAGCCTGGGTAACAAGAGCGAAACCCCGTCTCAAAAAAAAAAAAAAGAATATAGAAAAAGAATAAGAATTATAGTTTTGTTATAGTCACACACGAAGTGTCTGTGATCATTAACAAGTCATGTATAATCTTTTAAAAAAAAATTTAGCAACCAACTTAGATTATTCTAGGATTCTAACATCTTAGAAAGAGTACTTTATACCTTACTATAGATAAGAGAGTTTAAATCACGGAATATTTATTGTAGGGAATCGGTATATATCATTAGAATTATATTTTTATTTGACATATTAATATTCTTGGTGATAAAACTGTCAAAGAGATATATTTAGAATAGATTACCAAGTTACTCAATGTTTTTCAGTTAAAAGGCTAGTAGTAGTAGATGTCTAGGGAAAGGCCCATTAATTTAGACTTGTATGTTATTTTCAAAAAAAAACTTTAGCATTTTTGACAGAATATGGGTTGGGCACCGTGGCTCACGCCTGTAATCCCAGCACTTTGGGAGGTCAGGTAGGCAGATCACTTGGAGTCAGGAGTTTGAGACCAGCCTGACCAACATGGTGAAACCTCGTCTCTAATAAAAATAGAAAAAATTTGTCAGCTGTGGTGGCAGGTGCCTGTAGTCCCAGCTGCTCCAGAGGCTGAGGCAGGAGAATTGCTTGAACCCGGGAGGTGGAGGCTGCAGTGAGCCGAGATAGCAACATTGTACTCCAGCCTGAGCAACAAGGGCAAAAGTTTGTCTCAAAAAAAAAAAAAAAAAAAAAAAAAAAGAAACGAAAAAAATATGAAATGTGTAAAAACGTTGACTCTTAATATAGTTAATTCTTCAGAGTTTTGAAGGAGCCGGATTGGCTGCTCTCAGGTATGAGGGCCTGGTGGGAACAGACTTCTAGTTCTGCCATAAAGGTTTGTGTTTGACAAGTTTTAAATTAATTTAAATTTTAAAATTTAAAAACTGGGCATATGAGTGTTCATGGACATTTTTTGTTGTTGAATTATTTAAAATGTGTTTCTCAGATTCACCAATCTAGATTTTTTTCCTCTTCATGTTACTGAGGGAATAAGTAAACAAGATGCTGCTAATCCACAATCCAGAATACTGGGTAAAAGAGTGTCTTTCAAACCTTTATCTGCTTCTACACTCTTCACACTTTTACACGCTTCCATCAATAATATATTTTTATCTTCTAATCCCAGGGTCAAGGTGTTGGAGAAAGGGGCTTATTTAGACACAGTTTCTCCCCACTTCATGGGGCCAAGTGTCAGAATCTGCAAGGTGTAGTTCAGAGTCACCAATCTGAGATTTGTTGTCCTTCCCATTTTTTTTAAGAGGTATGTTCTAGCTCTGTCACTCATGCTAGAGTGCAAGGTACAGTCATAATTCACTGCAGCCTTCAACTATCAGGCTCAAGTATCCTCCTGCCTCAGCTGGGAAATAAGTGCACACCACCACACTTGGCTAACTTTTTTTAGAGACAGGGTCTATCACTCAGGCTAGATACAGTGGTGTGACCTTGACTAGCTGTAGCATTAATCCCCTGGGCTCAAGTGATCCTCCCACCTCAGTCTCCTGAGTAGCTGGGATCACAGGCATATACCACCACGTGGACCTGGTTTGTTTTATTTTATTTTTTGAGGCAGTCTCACTCTGTCACCCAGTCTGGAGTACAGTGGTGTGATCTCAGTTCACTGCAACCTCCACCTCCCAGGTTCAAGTGATTCTTCTGCCACAGCCTCTGGCATTATAGGTGCACACCACCACGCCCAGCAAATTTTTGTGTTTTTAGTAGGGACGGGATTTCACCATGTTGGCCAGGCTGATCTCAAACTCCTGACCTCAGGTGATGAACTTGGCTACTTTTTGTGTTTTTTGTAGAGACAAGGTCTCACTCTGCTGCTTGTCTAGGCTCATCTCAAACAGACTCCTGGGCTCAAGTCATCCTCCTTCCGTGGCCTCCCAAAGTGCTGGTATTACAGGTGTAAACCACTATGCTTTGCCCTGGATTGTTTTTTAATTTTTTGTAGAGATGTCTTGCTGTGTTGCCCAGGCTGGTCTCAAACCCCTGGCCTCAAGCAGTTCTACCTTGGGCCTCCCAAAGCACTGGAATTACAGGTGTGAGCCACCATGCTGGGCCCTCCTCCTCATTTTTAAGAATTCTGTTTTTGTCCCAGTGGAAAGATAGTTAAGCCTTAGATCAGGCGTCCCCAAACTTTTTACACAGGGGGCCAGTTCACTGTCCCTCAGACCGTTGGAGGGCCGCCACATACTGTGCTCCTCTCACTGACCACCAATGAAAGAGGTGCTCCTTACTGAAGTGCAGCGGGGGGTGGGGTGGCTGGATAAATGGCCTCAGGGGGCCGCAGTTTGGGGACACCTACCTTAGATGTTCACTATATCAATGAATAAAAGCTTTAGAAATATAACCTTTTTGAACCATTTTGTAAGTCCTTAGTACTTAAAAGAGAGGCCATGTTCCTAAAACATAAAAGTTATCCAAATGAATTGATGATACTTTTTGGCAAAATAAGGAGTTGATTAAAAAAGAAGTACAATCATGAAAATATTCTTGTTTGTCTTTTGGATAATCTTATGGTGTAGGTTGTACAGAATTAAAACATAGGTATTATTTAGGAGAACTAAATGAGTTATATCAGAATTTGGGGCATTTGAAAAGATATATTCAGGTTTGGGATTTTTTTTTTTTTAAATAACAGCTTTATTGAGACATAATTCACATGCTGTATAACCAAATATTTTAAATCTATTTATGTGTTTATAGTTTTAATCCTTAAATTTACTTAATTTATTTAAAATAGTATTTCATGGAAGTAAGCAGTAAACTTTAGTCTTCATTTTAAGAAATCAAGTTATTTTCTTGTTCTCTGCTGGACTCAATTTGATTGGCTTCATTTGGGAATGTGACATTGTGTTTATTAGTTTATTTCAAAATATATTTTGCTAAGTGGACTGTTTCAAG